CAACTTATTGTTCATGATTAAAATTGTAAAAATATATTACTTCTCGTCTCACAGTTTTAAAATGGTTTTACATTTACAACGAATGGATGCCTTCCCATTTATTTCAACTGTGGTGCATTTTCTGCATGGGTAGTTTTTCGACAAACAGATATGCCAATCATTTAGACTCCACATTTTCTACGGATATATATTTGGATTATTTTACAGTAGGTAGTCTGGGCACGAACTGGAAACGTATCTTGAACTAAAACGGGATAAGACAGAAAAGTAGAAACATTAAGAGACTAAAATCCTGGCTAGAAACAAGCACACACACATACATACATACATATATATATATATATATGTAAGAAAGGATATATATTTTGTCCCAAGCTTTGATGGACTTTTTGTAGATCACTAGCAGTGTAAGAAGAGCTAGAAGCTTTATATTTTGAAATTTATTTTCTCTGAAAAACGCATAGTGTATTAATATAATCAGATAGTTCTGTAATAGCGACATACTTTCACATGCAGCTTCTCACCTTATTTCAGTCTATAGGTATGAGAACATTTAACTCTATTTCTGAATAGAATTTGCGAAAAAATATCTGTTCTGTTTCTCCTTTTGCGTTTTGTGAGTTTGTAACATATTTGGATTATATGAAGGACAAAAAATATTATAAAAAATGTGACAGCATCTGTCAATTTTATTAACAGCTGAGTGGACGTGACGGATACTGTTGTGCATTATTTAATGTTTTCCATTCCAAATGACTATACTCATGCAGATAAAATAATTTAGGATGATCTTGTAGACATCATTAGCAGTTTTATTGCGAAGCAAGAGACGTGAAAACATGTGCAATGCCTACGCCGAGTTTCGAGCTCCGGACGTTTCGATTGCCGGCATGTCGTGCTTTGCAATTACAGCACGGAAGCACACGGTAAAGAAGCAGAAAAATTTCTTACATTCTTTCCGACTGAAAAGGCAACTGGTGAAGTGGTGATCCAGTCTCTAAATTCAGGTGAAGCCGAATTGGCTCACTATATTTTTTAACTCGTGCACTTTAGAGTTATTAGATTTATTTATCGAGGTAAAAAACACGAAAAATGTACGATGTCTTCGCTGTCACTTCGACTGAGGACCTTCCGATTGCTATTTGGACGTGATTTTTGATTACACCGCAAAGGCACTCGATGGGGAAGGAGACATTATCTTCTCAATCTAACCTCTAGTTAGACCGTTTGCCAATGAAAATCCTTATTGTATTTAAAATTTCACTGTTGTTACTATATTTTCTAAATGTGCTTTTACATTTACAATCTATCCGCGCATTTAATTATACGAGTTTACTTTTCCTGACCTTTCAGTCCATGCGAAAAATAAAGATTATTATTCTATTATTATTTCTTCTACGAGGCATTTAATTATACGAGAGCCCATGCAAATGCAAAGGTTAGTATTTAGATTTTAAGTGCAACTCATTCTCTTAGTATATTTTAAAGCTTTCTACCTTTTATCATTTAATTGCTCATTATCAGTTTTGTTTTCGGAAATAATTTTATTACAATTCCTAATTAGGAGCAACGCTTCTGTGTCTACAAAATAGGTGATAAATTAGAAATAACACAACTGTTTTAATATAACTTATTTTTGTAAACCAGTTGAAGTATTTAAGTCTCACTTGTGAAGGAACTTGTCAACTACTACTAGAGATAGAATGGAACAATTTAGGCGAACCTGGTGAAGAAACTATTAGACATAGACTGAAATCATTTAGGAGAAACAGATGAAATCAAAAGAAATAACTAAAATAACCACAGTAGTCAGCAAAATGACAAGATTTTTATATAAGAAAGCATTACTAAATAGCGAAAGGTGCCGTAAAAATGAAATTTTCAAAAGGTTATGTTTGAAACAGAATATTGTTACGAAATGCGGATTTGCAAGTATCTCTTTGAATAATCGCTCGAGATGAGCAGGAAGACTGATAATTTTTTAGCACAGAAAAAAAAATCATTGTCATTTTGCTTAACTTTTTTTTTCTTGTTAATAAAATTATTTAAAGACGTTTGCTCTATTTATTGCACTAAAAAAAATTGGAAGCTTTCAGATTTTACATTACACCCAAAAGGGCCTTTTTTTAACGTTTTGTGTGTTACCTTTATCTAATACATATAATTTTCTTCGCAATTAAACCATAAAATTCAATTCAACAGCAATATCATAAAAAAATTTAAAAAGAGCATATACGTATCTATTAACATGTATTAACATTATTATCACATGTATTTATTATTTCCGATACACAATCTTGCGTGCCGAAGATAAAAATTTTTTTTTTTTTTTTTTTTTTTTTCATACAGTGTTGCCATAGTTCGCTTTGAAATCGCTGAGTTTCTTAAACAAAAACTCATAAATGCTTTATAAAATACGAAATCGGTAATGAAATATAATTATAAATGTACAAATTTTTAGCAAACCCAGATGCTAAATATGGCCACCTGGGCTTACAGATGCCCATATTTAGTATATATATACGTACGTTATTCAAAATTGGATGGCTCTAGGTACCGTTGTTTTATCACAATGCAAGAAACATGGATACATTTATGCAGATTATTCATTATTTAATTTCTTTAAATATAATACAGGGCTATAATATTTGGTGTCAACAATTTGAAAAGTGATTCAGGCTTTTAAAGTTTTCGACGCAAAATGCCGAAACGAAATTAATAGGTCTTCTGGGTTAACGCTCTTTAGGCTAAAAAGAAAAGAAAAAGAAAAAAAGGGGGAAGTGCATACAGAAAAATAAACAGCTGTAAACAGCTAAAGAAGAACGAGTAATTGAGCAGTTCCTCCTTATCGCACGAAATGAGCTGACATCTCTCTAGACGAGGCCCAGCAGCGGCCAAGCGGTAAAAGCCGCGCTGAACGCTGGTAGTTCGGTCTGGGGTTCGAGTCCCGGCGAACGGGTTGGCTATATGGGCGTTTTCGTGGTTTTCCCTTGTGCAGCTAGAATTTGATTGAAAGTGAGGGTCCATAAGTCAGGGCCCGTACAGGAGCCCTGTGGACAACCTCGATTCTGCAAACGATGGACTTGACCATTATTATGGACAAAAATAAGAGAGCGTTCCGACAAATAATTGCTGAAGGTCTGGAAGAGATTAACAGGGCACTTGGCTTGTTGCAAGGCTTGAATAATGGCCGGCCACCACAAGGTAATCGAAGGCGCACTTCAAGTCGACACTGATAAAGGCCTGCACATACATCTACTTATGCCTATGCCGACGATGTCGCTTTTATTGTCCGTGGCAAAACAGGAGAAGAGCTTCAACGCCATGCTCAAGAAACGTGCAACCTTTTTTCTACACTATGTCTAAATATAAATCTACAGATTTCTGAAGATAAATCTTTTATACTCCTAATTGTGAGCATAGTATAGATATGTATCATCTTGTATAAAATTGAATTATAAGTTCCCTGCAATACAGTACTGTGTAATATATATTAAATTGTGAGCATCGTATAGATATGCGTCGTATAAAATTGCACTAATATAGGAAATATACAGTGGTATAGTAGTATATAAATAGTGTTTTATTACTTTGCATTAACTATTGTATTGAACAATATGGCTTATGATATTATTGAATTATCTATCTTGTCTTGCATCTCGTACAGAATCATTAGTATCGTTTTACCTTGTATTAGTATATATCTGTATATGTGTATGTATGTATATATGTGTGTATGCGTGTATATATAGTTGTATAATGTATCCTCTTTACCTTGCATTGGTATTTATATAGTGCATAATGTATTTATGTATTGTATCCTTGCTTTGTACACTAACTATTGTATTGAACTTACCATCAGTATTAAGATCATTACATCATCGATATCATACTATCAGCATTCTTATCAGCCTAGTAGTATGTAGCAGCAGTAGCAGTTTTGTAATATTTAACATGTATCAGTTTGTAGTACTGTTTGTAGTATTCTAGTAGTAGTTTTGTAGTATTGTAGTATGTAGCAGTAGTAGTTTTGTAATGGTGTTTACTCCTTTGGTTTTCTATTGCTATCGCTATCTGTATGTGTTTGTTCTAATTATGTCTATGTGATTCTCGTATTTATTCAAAACTGGCACTTGCACCTTTGTAATCTTATGCTTTGTCAAAACTTCAAATGTACCCTTTATTTATCTATTTATTTTATTTTTGAGCCTTGTCTGGCATGTATTTGTTGAACTTTGACTCAATAAATACTAGGCCCGGGCGGTTGGTGTGAACATGCTTCTGGGCGGCTTCTTTGGTCTTTTGGACTGCCACCTGGATGGCCTGGTCGCTGGGTTTCGGTGTATGGTGCGAGGCGCCTGTGTGGTCCATCTGGCTCAAGATAGAGGTGGACGTGTTGCATATGCCAATTAACCATTACGGTAAAGGGATGGTGCACACGTCCCCCGTCAACTATCAACTAATCCCGAAAAAAGGTGGATCTCTGGCACGTCGACCCCGCATCGAAATTAATAATAAAAGAATAAAGATTGTTCGTCAGTTAAAATACCTTGGCATCGTCTTTGACGATAAATTGAACTGGGCTCAACATCTTTTGCACATTAAAAAGAAAACTTATAACATAGCATATAGGCTCCGACAGATGAGTGGTTTTCAGTGGGGGCTTAACCCCCATATACAGAAACTTCTGTACCAAACGGTTATTGTCCCCATTGTGACCTATGGGGCAGCTGTTTGGAGTCACCCAATGCAGGGCCGTAAAGTAAGGTCTCTCCAATCAATCCAACGTTCTTTTCTTCTCAATATATCTAAAGCCTTTCGAACGACTTCAAGTAGTGCCCTACAAGTAATAACTGGTCTTCTGCTTCTCCGTCTCCGAACGGGACAGGAGGGAGCACGATAACTACTTAAATTGCTAAATCAACAGGTCACCTTCTATGGCGAACATTATTCTCCTGAAGATTATGAACGACCCTACAATCGACTACGTCTCCATCCAGCTGCTTATGGACTTGGTGTTCTGGTGTTCATGTAACATTACGTGAATCTACACAACTGCCTGATGGTGATTATTACATCTACACTGATGGGTCAAAAATAGAAGATAATACTGGTTGTGCTTTTGCAGTTTTTCACCATGGCACTTTATTGCATCAATGGAAAGCACATCTTCATGGACATAACAGCGTGTTCCAGGGAGAGGCCTTTGCCATCGTCAATGCCACTAAATATATTCTGGAACATCAAATATTGAACTGCTGCATTGTAACGGACAGTCAGTCGGTCTTGGCTGCTGCAATGAATCCTGTGCATCCATCAATAATAATTTCGCAACTTCAAGAACTACTTCGATTAGGTGCTCACCTTAATATTCAAATGTTTTGGACACGTGCTCATATGGGCACAATTGGAAATGAACTTGCTGATGAATTAGCAAAGCAAGCGGCCATGAACGATGATGCTATTAATTCTCCCTTAGCTTGGCCCATATCACATTTTCTTCGGAAACTGCACCTACAGTCAGTTATGCAATGGCAGGTCCTCTGGGATGCAGAGGATAGTGGCCGCAGAGCGCATTATCACCTGGGCTATGTTGATGAGACTCGTCTTCTTGCCAATTCACAATTGGTAAGATATGTCACAGGTCACGGGCCTTTTCCCGTATATTTTGCCCGCTTTAACATCACTTCAACTGATCAATGTGTTTGTGGCCAGGCGGGTACGCCTGAGCATTATGTATCCTCTTGTGAACTTACACGAGAACTGCATATCCCTTTTCCTGCTCAACATCAGCAGGCTTTTAGTAAGTTTTTAATCAAACAACGACATCTTGTTCGGAAACTGACGGCCATCATGTCAAAACTTATGCATCTTGGTACCGACTTATGTCAACCTGTCTAATTACTTGCTGTTCCTACACCTTCTATATTATATGTCAAATTGTTTCATTTACTGCATTTATCAATTAATTTAGCTGTATTGTTACCATATCCTTTGCGTTTTGAATTAGTATGTTGTCATTTATTGTCTAGTGTTGTTTCAATACTGTTAGTAATACGAATTATGCTGCACTATGTAACACAATTTATCTGTGATTTCTATTACTTGCACATATTATTTACTGCATACTGAATTTGCAGTTTCTTCTGTATTGCATTTGTACTCATATTTATATCATTTGTATTTGTATTTGTAGTACTGGTTCAACATAAATGCATCTGCTCTGTACTGAATTTGTGTTGCATTCATATTTAACAGCATATTATAATTTTTGTGTTGCATTCATATTTGTGTTGCATTTATCTTCAATAATTTGTGTTTCATTTAACTTCAATAATTAGTGTTGCATTTATATTTAATAGCATATTTAATAGCATATAGAATTATATTGCACTCATATTCAAATATTGCATTTGTACTTATATTTATATCATCTGTATTAGTTAAGTAATGGTTCATAATATATGCGTCTGTTCTGTACTGAATTTGTGTTGCATTCATATTTAATAGTATTTGTATTTCTTATGTGCTGATTTATATAGATTGCATTGTTACATACTGAATTAGTAATGCATTTGTCGTGTTCTGCCCTTATCATCATATTATATTCTTCATTTTTATAATGTGCTGATTCATCCTGATTGCATACATTATGCACTGACTTTGTATTGTCTATTATATACTGAATCTGTATATATTTCTATACACAGTATTTGTTATGTGCTGAATTCTATTGATCACATTGTTATATACTGTATTTGTACTGCATTTGTAGTGTACTACCCTTATCTTTCTATTTATATTATTCATACTAGATATGTGCTGATTCACCTTGGTTGCATTTATTACATACTGAATTGTATTACCTCTCATATACTAAATTTGTATCGCATCTGCGCTGAATTTACATTACCTGTTATATATTGCATTTATATGAGTTCATCCTGATTAGATTAATTATGCACTGAATTTGTATCACTTATTATGTTTGTATTACTTGTTCTATACTGAATTTATAATGCATTTGTATTTATTTTATTCGTATTTGTTCTGTGCTGTTTCATCTTGATTGCATTTCTACAGCATTGAATTTGATTTACCTGTTATCTATTGAATATTGTCATTTGTAGTGTACTATTTATATTTATATTATTGGTATTGGTTAAGTGCTGATCCATTCTGATTCTATTTATTACGCATTGACTTTGTATTACCTGATTTATACTGACGTTTTATTTGATTATTATTTATTTATTTATTTATTTTTTGTACTGTATCGGATATGTGCTGATTAATATTAACTGCATTGTCATATACTGAATTGTTCTATACTGAATTGGTAACGCATTTATAGTGTACTGCCCTTATACTTACTTATATTTCTATTACTCACATGCACTCATATCTTTGATTTGTATTTGTTATGTACCCATGCCATTATTTTATCCTCCCTAATGTACTCTGGCCTATTTAATATATTTAATTTTGATTCAGATTTAGTATTATTGTGATGTCATTAACCAGTAATAGGCCTATTCTGTCTTATAGTGATGCCCTTAACTTATAACACGCCTTCTGTATTCTGTATTCATTTTCCTGTAACTTGCTTTATCTGGTAATCTTGTAATCTTTACCTCTTATTGTTAAATTTGTACAATCCTTGATATATTGTTAATGTACTTAATTGTATCTCTCTCTGCCCTTGTATGGTTATGTAAATATTTCTTTTATAAATCTGACACCTGGGCGACGGGGTGTGGGTCCCCTATGGGCCTTTGGTTCGTTGAACTGCCCTGGTTGGATCCGGCGTTGGGCTTGGTCTCTCTGTGCGCGGCTCTCGTGTGGCCTTTTTGGCTGCTCTAGATCTTGGGGGGCGCGGTGCTGAACTGATTCACCCTATGGTAAAGGTACAGTGCTCGCGTCTTCCGTCAATGGAATGGAATGGAATGGTTTTCCCTTGTGTAACGTGGATACGAGCCAGTTTCCCTTAAAAAGACCTCCACGGGGCATCCATTCCTTTCCTTGTAGTGCCTAAGGGCGGAGCATTTAATAAGCCCGACCCCCCAAAAAAAAAGCTCTCTAGACACTTCAAAGTTTGTTTCATTTTTTCCTTTTGACATATGCCTCGGTGCCTCATATGACCGCTAAGACATATGACCGGTAATGACCGCTTCAGGAAAAGATCAAGACCTCTAATGTTCTAAAATTCCTTACTATCTCTGCGCGGCGATGACGACATACGTTACGCTAGTAAATAAGGACAAATTCTCAAACGCCTAGAAGTGCCGAGCTTATTAAAATGTATAGTGGCACAGGCTTCTGTAAGCTTCGAGAAAAATATATCGTAAAGTTCTTTAAATTTGTGCCTGCCGGGAGCTTGTTTGCTCATATCTCGCGTTCTACTTGAGCTATTTTTACAACTTAATCCTTGTTAGACTCTAGAATTGGAATATCTATATTTTTATACAAGAAATAAGCACTTATATTAAAAAACGTATGCCCATAAATTCTATTACATATAAACTAAATCCTAAAACTATTATTCTAAACGCAAAAAATAAATCAATAGCTAAATAAAACAACGCAGATAGTTAGAACAATACATAAGAACAATAATGGAATCAAATGAATTCATATATTTAAAAAAAAATATGACAATTCGTTATTTCTAACTGAAAATTTCGACACAGGCAATTTATTTGCTGCGCCTCTTTTCCAGTAACAGATTTTAAGCATGCCAGCTGGACGGTTAATCTCAATGCTCTTTTTTCCCTGACCCACCAACTGACCCCCAAGCAGTAAAGTCGCTGAGTTTGACGTGCGATGAGTTCTAGGCGAACATTCTGATCGCATGGATGTTCCCAAGGTTTTCTTGGTACGAGCCAGTTTCCCTTAGATAGTTCTCCATGAAGGCATCCTTCCTCTCAGGTAAATAGTTCTTGCGTGCTTTGTCATATTCATAAAAAAACGAAGCCAATCCCCCGTCACCAAGATGACTATTTGTTTGAAAGCATTCATTGGGCAATGCCGAACCCATCGGTCAGTTAGACGTGCCATTACCGAGTACTTTGTCCAGTGAGCACCACAGGGACAGTTGTCTCAGATGCACTGATATTGCTCTCTACTTCGATATTCTATTCACTGTTGAAATTGAATCTCTCAGTTTCGTACCTTTGCTTTGCATTTTAGCATAGGCACTAAATTAAGTTCCAGCATGAAATTTACAGAAAAACCTCTTTATCTATTTTCGCCTTTCTAGTTTCAAACACTGTAATTATATAAAACAAAACATAACAAAATAGATTCTTAGACATTCCTTTTATTTAATACCTTCTGTACGTAATCAATAATCCAATTATATAGAGTCGCTGTTTATGGTAGGTGCCTCTCCTTGTTTATCATTGATAATACATTTTGTAAACTTTTTTCTTAACGTTATAAACAACCTTAATAAACTTGTCAGCTTTTAATTTTATCTTTGTATTATATAAAAACAATGAGATTTTTTTCATAGTTTCATCCAAGTTAGTTTTCTTTTATTTTACTAAACCTTTTCGCCCTTTGAAGGGTTTAAAACTAGACAATGATTATGAGACTTCATGCTTGATATCCGTTCTGAGAGATTTTACTGCAGTCTTTGCAGTAATCATTACGTATTTCAATGAACAGTACTTATTTATTGATTAACTACATAGATATGGTTAAATAATTAATGCAGCAAACAAACACTAATCAAATCAGTAAAGCTTTAAAATTTACTTAATGATTACTTAATTTACTCCTCGTTAGAAGGAAAAGAAATTATAAATATACGCAGGGTATTTCTAATCATTAGTAATTTCTTGACTGTCGCTTCCTTTTCTGTTCTGTTAAAATTATCTAAAAATTTCCTTGATCAGTTTCATTTCTTTAAACACAGCCTACCGGTATAGCGTATACAACTATTGAAATTGACGCTATACCGATGGGCCCACGTTCGAATCCCGGAGGATAAATGCACGTATCCGCGTGGTGTAGAGTATCTGGGAGGCAAGAGGGCACACAAAATGAACGCCGAGCCGGAAGTCCTCTCGACAGGTTGTTGGTAGGGAAAAAAGTGTGGGAAACGCTCAGAACCCCAGGATGTCCTCCCGCAAAGTTTGGATTGAAGCTTAAAGGTTAACTAGGGTTAACAATACCTCAATCACTTATAGTACTACAGAGATGCTAGCCTAGTTTCTACCTATAACTATATTTCATTGAAATGCTCTACATTCATCAAATCCTTACTATTCCAATTTAGGATTCATTCTCGCAAACAAAAGCCTCAGATCATAGGTCTTGGCATCGCACATTTTTCTTTTGTTTATTTATTTTTGTAGCAGGAGAAATACACTATCTGCGTTTAAACAGGGGGTTCTAAGGCATCGGTATTGATCACATGGGAGTTGATAAAATTTTAAAGGGGTCCATGATGATCAAAAGGTCGATTGAGGGCCAATTGCCAAATATCTACCGGCAATTTAACGGCATAATCAAGATCACATTTATTACCAAAAATTATTATTAAAACTGATAGCTCATAATTTATTGGTATCAGATATATTAAAGTGTAAGGATAAAAATAGAAAAGATAGAAATTTATATGAAATAAATATAAAATACTCTATAAAATTTTGAAATATTTTTAATAATCGATACATATTTATAACTTGTTATGCAGTAACTAAAATATGAAAATGTGAAAATATGAGTAAGACAAAAATGAAATGGTTGTATATTTTAGTAAAGAAATGGTTTAAATATTAATTTAAGTCCTTCGTATGTCAAATATTAAAAATATTGCATCAATACAACAAGCGCGCTGTAACATTTTTTATAATCAAACTCTGGCCAATTAGAATCTGTAATTTTGCTTCTTA